AACAAAAGAAAGTGACAATGGCAATTTCTACGGTAGGTTATATTAGGTTATATTATTTTGATGCATATATATATTTTTTCGAGGAAATACAATAAATAAGCTTTTCATTATAGGGTCATCATGGACTCTCGGAAGCGAAAGCAGCGATACGATTTAATGAACAGGATTTGAATGATCGAACGGAAGAAATGATGAGCTTGGAAAGATCTTTTGGAGTTCAAGAAAGCGAACTTGAAAAAATCATGGAAGCCTTAAAGGGTATGAGAATCGAATATTTTAATCCAATTGTGTGAATATTTTTTTATACTGTAACTGGATTTAATCCTAAATAAAGGCAAGTCTGAAGTTTATTCTAACAAAATTGAAGAAAAGAAAAGAGAACTTGCGCCATGGTCAGTGAAGATCAATGAGAAGCAATCCCTCGTTGATATCAATGAATCGGAGTATATTATTTTAAAAGAAAAAGTTGATTCAATAAAACAAGCTCTTAAACAAGCAGAAGAAGATGCTGTCACGCTTAGAGAATCTTGTCAGAAAAAGGTATTATTTATTATAAGGAATCGATTTGCTTTTTATGGGTGATCAAATAATCATAAATGAACTGCTTATTTAGGATCAAGAAATCTCATCTACAGAGAATCTAATCAAAGACTTGAAACGAGAAATTCAACAATTGGACACTGATTTGAAGGTTATTATTTCATTTAACATTTAAATTAATATATTAAGTTTTTTTAAAATAATCATAAATATCTTTTATTACTTTAGCATTACCTTAGTCAGCAAAAAAATCTCAGGTCTAGTCTTGCCGATTCTCAACAAAGAGAAGAGGTTGCGAAAAAACTTTTACAATCTTCTCGGTCTAGAGGACAAGTTCTTAACAGCTTGATAAATCTCAAAGATAATGGTATAAGCGGATTATACGTAAGTTCGCCGGAGCTGAGTGTTCTATAAATTGTTTTGCTGAAAATCTTATTTATTTTAATTTTTTCAATTAGGATCGTTTGGGTAACCTTGGTGTCATTGATGAGAAATACGATGTCGCGATTTCAACTGCCTGTCCAGCATTGAACAACTTCGTGGTTGATTCTGTTGAAGTTGGACAAACTTGTGTCGATCATCTTAGAAAAAACAATTTAGGCCGCGTCATATTCATTCTTTTGAATAAGCTACCTATCATGGATATGCGCCCGATACAAACACCTGAAAATGTTCCCCGTCTTTTTGATCTTGTTAAGCCGAAAGATGACAAGTTTATCCCAGCATTTTATAGTGTGTTACAAAATACTTTGGTAGCCGAAAATCTACAACAAGCGAAAAGGATAGCATTTGGTAAAAATCGATGGCGCGTAGTGACTTTAAATGGTGAATTGGTTGACAAATCTGGCACTATGAGTGGCGGAGGTGCCCAAGTGTTGAAAGGTGCCATGAATCCAACATTTTCTTCCGACATAACACCCGAGACAATAACAAAAATAGAAAGAGAACGTAGTCACTTAGAAGTACAGTTGAGAGAAGTTGATGAAAAAGTTAGTTCTTTAGAATCTCAACTTCAAGAGAAAAAGGATGAACTTCCTAAATTAAAGTTTGAACTATCAAAGTTAAAGATGTCTGCTGATGCTTGCGTAGAAAGTATTACCGATAATGAAACAAGAATAGTTGAGTTACGGTATGTTTAGAACTTTTTTCATCAATAAAGTCTTGGTAAGGTTAATTAATAAAAAATCAATTTTCTTCTTTATTTTCCTTTAAGGCGACGAGATAATTTAAATATAGATGATACCAGGAATATGGGACAACTTCGAACAAAAATTGATCATCTTACACAAGAATTGGATAGATTGAAACGTCAACCTTCTAAAATTGAAGAAGAGATTAATATTTTGCAAAATAAGATTTTGGAAATTGGGGGTGATAAACTTCGAGCTCAAAAGGTTAAAGTAGATCATATTAAAGATCAAATAGATTTAACAAATGAGCGAATTACTAAGTCGCAAGTGGCCAAATCAAGGGCGGAGAAGGAAAAGATAAAATTCGAAAATTCTCTAGCAAATAGTGAAAGAGAATTAGAAGAATTAAATAATGAGATAGAAAATATTACAAAAGAAATTCAACAGAAAGCCAATGTTGCACGTTCCATTCGTATTAAAGCCGATGAAGCCAAATCTGTATTTATGATTTATTATATCTGAATTTTTTTATTAATATAAATATATAAATACTCATTTACATGTTTTCTAAATACTTAGAAATTGGAAAATAAAAAAGAAGAATTAGATGAGATCAAGGAAGAATTTGATGAAAAAGCCGAAATTATAAATCAAATTAGAGCAATTGAGGTTTATATTTATATTTATCATTATTCTCTTAAAGTTAAATCAATTGACTAATCATATTGTGTAAATTTTAGTTAAAAATTCAAAACCAAATAGAAGATAGTGAACGCAATTTGACAGAAAATAAACAAAAAGAAATTCATTGGCGAAAATGCCTTAGCAACCTTACACTTCATGAAATTGGGTAAGGCTGATGTTATTTTTAAAAAATTCATTCTACCATTATCTCATTGACTTTTTATAAATAGGGGTGACGAGGAGCAAGAATTTCAAATCTATACTGATGATGAGCTCCATGAAATGAACAAAGATACATTACAAGGAGATATTGATATTCTTAAAGGTATTCTAATTTATCTTTTTTATATTCTATTTATCCTTTATATCTAATTCTTTTTATTTTTTTTTAAAAAAAAAAATCTCTAGAAAAAACCGAAAACGCCAACCCAAATCTAAATATTCTGAAGGAATATAAGATTTGTGAAAAAGAATATATATCTCGTCAAAAAGATTTTGAAGAGATTACTTTCATACGTAATGAACGTAAAGAGAATTACAATAATTTAAGGAAGCAAAGATTGGACGAATTCATGAATGGATTTAATGTTATTTCTCAAAAACTTAAAGAAATGTACCAGGTATATAATGATATTTCTTATCTCAATATATGTTATATAAAAATGTAACAAATGGTTGTTTTTAGATGATTGCACTTGGAGGAAATGCTGAGCTGGAATGTTGTGATAGCATGGACCCCTTTTCGGAAGGCATAATTTTTAGTGTTATGCCGCCGAAAAAAAGTTGGAAAAATATCTCGAATCTATCTGGTGGGGAAAAGGTATGTATGTTCTCCAATGTTTCAATTTTAATTATACTTGATATGTAACGAATAAATTATTTTATCCAAATACAGACGCTTAGCTCTTTAGCTCTAGTGTTTGCTCTGCACCATTACAAACCCACACCCATATATGTTATGGATGAAATTGATGCGGCCTTGGACTTTCGTAATGTTTCAATCGTCGCAAACTACATTAAAGAACGTACGAAGGACGCACAATTTATTGTAGTTAGTCTACGTGATAACATGTTTGAATTAGCGGATCATTTAGTAGGGGTTTATAAAATTGGTGATCAGGTAAGATTCTTTCTTTCAACTAACTTTTTTAATGAATATTTATTAATTTTTATAAATAATATTATTTTAGTCAAAATCAGTTACAATTAATCCGCGTAAATTTCAGGATATTACATTAAGTAAAAAGTCTTGATATAGGCCCATTATGTTAGTAATTAGCTATGCTAAATAATGTCTCAAAATTTAAATTGAAATTAAAAATATAGAATTTTTTTTATCTTTTAATTCGGATTGATTTGCTAAATTAGAAATACTTTCTATTCTTTTGTTTTATTACGAATTATTTGATTGCTAGAATTATTACTATTTAATTATTTAATTTTATTAAATGATTTGCAATAAATATTACGATTAACTTGATCATAGAAGATTTCAATAGTATCTATTGGCCTACTGTTTTCTAAATATATTGAATTTCTGTAATTTTATATCTTATACTAATGTTTTTTCTCAAATTTTTAAGTTATAAAAATATTTTTTTTATATATTACTTTATTTACTATTTTATAAAATTCATATAAGAAAATTCCGATTAATACAATCTGGCTTGCTAATTCAAAAACATATTTATTAGTTTTAGTTTCATATTTCCATAGAAAAAATGGAAAATTTAAATAAAAATCTTAAAATTTTCCAACTTTGTATAGAAATACAACTTTTTAAAAAAGAATACCATTTGCTAAAATGAAGATTGTAATACCTATCCAAATATTAATATGTATTAAAAAATTTACCTAATAAATTAAAAAAAATACAATATTAATAAAATTATTCCAACTTTTATGTAAAAAACTTATCAATAACAAAATAACAAATAAATAAACAAATATATTCAATTTATTCAAATTAATAATACCATTTTTTTGACATTAAATCAGAATCACTAAACTAAAAATCTATATACTATATTATTATTCTACTTATTTATTTATATTAATTAATAAAATAAAGCAAAAAAATTCATATTTCATAATAACTAATATTTGATCATATTAAATAATATTTTTATTAAATACTAATATTTTATTCTATTGTATATATTATTTCTACCATTTTTTTTAAACATACTTTAAATTTTAAACTTAAATATTATTATAAATTAATACTAAAAAATTAATATTATAAAATTTATTTTTTTATATTTCAAATAATATGTTACTTAAATTTTTTTCATTAATTCTATCAAATACAAATTAATTTCAAATTAGATTATATTAATATATTAATTAATTTGTATAATAAATTTAATATTTCTTTTACAGTATTATTTTCTTTAATAATAAATAATTATAAAAAATAAAATTCATATAATTAAAATTTAAAAAAAAATAAAAAAATCTATATATAAACAAATTTTATTACTTTTACAGTTATTTTCATAATTACTAAACCATAAATGAATTAAGACTAAATGCAACTAAAAATATTTTATAATAAAATTACTATAAAATATTACAACTAAATATGATTAATTATAATTAAAAAATTATTGATTCAAATATTTAATTCAATTCAATTTGATCAAATTTTTTAATTAAATTAAATTAAATTCAAATTACTACAATATTTGATTTAATTCAATTTTAAAAAAACTTACATTAAATAATATTCTTATAAAATATTATAAATATACAATCAACTCTTTTTATAATTATCTCAAATATAATTATATTCTCTTTATTAGTCCAAAGCATTAATGAAAAACTATTTACTTTCTATACATTATGTCCATTTGTCCGCCCGCTTATCATTTGAGATGACGAATATCAGCTATTTATAAATACTGTGTTACATTTTCCTAAAAAGAAACTGCCCACAACATAAATCTCTCTAAAATGTGTTGTATTTATTTTTATTAAACGTTTAAATAATAAATAAATCATTGTAAAATAAAATCTATTATATCCCAAACTACGTATCACGTTCTGTTCGTATGTGTATGTTATTGCTGTAGTATCAAAGTGAGTAAGCGTGTTTCTTCATCTTTTCTTTTTTACAACCTTTTACTCTTCTTTATACGTTAAAGTCTATCAAAAGTAAAAGACTTAAAATAGATGTCATTGAGCGCACAAACTCATGACATTGCAATAAACGAAAGTCCTGCAGTGAATTCTTTAATACTAATATCTATTCTGACCTTTGAAAGCGTGAAACCCTAGCTTTTGTGTACAGTAACCGCCCACGTCAGGCATATAGAAACTTGAAATCTTGAACAAATTTCGCCATTCTTACCTTCCCAGGTTCGTTTGATTGGCCTTATTGGAACAACCTTGATGCCTTCAGAGTTTGTTATTGTAATCCTTTCATAAGTATCAAAATCGACGAAAACTGCCGTCGGGAGTGAAGGAAGTCCATTTTCTTCAAATACTATATCTTCTATTATACCCAATGCTCCGTTCACTAGGCTGGCTTCAGTCCATAAATTTGCTGTTAACATAATTCTTGATCCTTTCACTAATAGCAACTCACTTACAAATCCTTTCGCCACGTTAGAATTTGCTTTTCTGGCCTCACGTCCGCCTGTATGTTCTGCCAAAATCTTTGCCACTGGTCGCTTCAATGATTGGAGTGTTTCTGTGTTAATTCTGTCTACATTATTCTATGTGATAAGTATTGAAACTGCGCCTAAAAATTTCTCGTGTTCTGCTCTTTTAAGATTTTCCTCAAATCTTTTACTTAGTATTTTCCAATCATTTAGGATGCTGTCACCTTCGCGTAATTTTAAAAATATATCTCGGAAGGACTGTTGCTCTTCGCTTGATCTGATTGTTTCTGCGCTATATCAAGTCTGTAAACCTCTCTGAATTTATTGTATGCGCCTATGCCATCATTGGATTTTGCGTCGCATATTCTATTGTCCACATACATTAAAAGATCGAGTACTGGTGGAAGTTGCCTGAAATCTCCGAATAATATAACTAATTTTCCCCCAAATGTTTTATCTTTTCTTTCAGATGTTGCCTGTCTTAACCTCAAATCGATTAAAGAAAGCATTTGACGTCCTACCATGCTTTTCTCGTCTATGATGAGGTAAATAACATCCCGTAATCTTTCTTGCAATCTTTTCAACCCATTTTCATCTAAATCAGAACTTTGGTTGTAGATTGGTAACGATAATGTTAAGTAAACTGTCGTGCTGTTTATGTTGTATGCTGCGACGCCAGTAAGTGCAATAACTCTTACCAGCGTGTTTGAATCGCTTCCTTTCATCGAGTTGAGTTGTTTTCGTATTACTCTGATTAAGTAAGATTTACCTGTTCCCGCTGTACCCATGACGATTATTCTTAATGATTCTGGTTGATTTCCCGAAATTATATCTTGGTAATGCATTTCTATTCATTAATGAACCTTTTTTTGGTTTTGATTTAGTTTTTGTATGTCGATATTATCTTCGTCATTTCCTCTACTTACCTCCTTACCGTTAATTAAAGCTTGGCGTAGAAACTCGCAAGCGTTTGTTAAATCTTCTACAGAATAATTTTTTCATACGTTGTTAACCCAATTGTAATTTCTATCCATATCCCTGCTTCCCAAATCCAACTCGCTAATCACTCTTGTGCTTGATCCGATCTCCGCAAGATACATCCAGTCATAATGAAAGGAAAGGCTTGCTCCTGTTTGCTGTCTTTATCAATTTCATATTCATTGTTCTTATCTTCTGTAGTTGTTCCTTCTCTATCAATAGCTGGTCCTAACAAATTGATTGTATCCACCCTATTTATCATTTTGATATTTTGGTCATATACCGTTGACCATGCCATGTTATCAGTTTCTTTGATTTGTTGAATATTTCGGTGAGGTACATGGAGTAGAACTTTGATTCTACAGAATTCTTCCCATTATTCTCTATTTCACAATGGTGATGGTCGTGGTTAGATGCAAACTATATTTTCTTTATTGCATCTTTTCTATTTGCTATTGTTAACGTGTAATTCTTGCGAACTACAACTGTTAGACGGGGTGTCAGAGTGTTATTTCTTTTTAATGTACGTA